TGGGAAAAGAATATCGCCAAGCCAGGTGAACAATAACAAATGATTTATGTCAGTGTAGTAAATCAGTTCTGTCATGAACATAAACCCCTAAGAGCTATGAGTTTAAGGTTCGCAGATAAAACGGATCAGGGTGTTTATGTATTCCTCAGCACCAATCAGATTGAAATCAGTGTTTTGTTCATTTGACTCCGTTCTGAAGTCTTATCATTCAAAGCTTATGCTCAGCTACTTTGAAGATACGTCCTCAGCCAGCCACTTAATTCCGCCTCTCTACACTTTTGAACTCAGCTGGAGCATGGGATGGGGAAAAAGTGTCTGACTTTAGAGAAAAAAAGAACCTAAGACGCAGCATGAACATGAGGAAGGAGACAGACAGAAACAAAGGATGAGCTTTCAAAGGAGGGAGCAACAGAAGTTAAGATGTTTTTTTAAAATAAAAAGGCCATGCACGGATGCACGGTTAATAGCACTAAATCACAGCACGCCTCTACACCCTCGCCCGGGTGTTGATTTAACCTCGGCCAACACTCAAGGGCGCTGTTGACTTTCTATGCTCATTAACAGATGAAAAATTACTTAATTGAGAGCCAGACAAGCAGGCATGTGCATTATTTTAAGTGAAAGTGGTAATATAGCTTGAAGAATAACCTCTAATGGCTTTCTTTGTTGGTATGTAAAATAGATAAGCATGGGGTGAGCTGTGGCTGGCTTTTTAGCTGGAGCTGCAATCATCAACTATGAAAATTGGTTTTGGGCCAATTGAAGGAGGTGAGTTGGAGGTTGGGTGGTACATTAGGACTGGACACTATTGGACCCCGCCTCATGGCTGAGTAACTACCTTCAGACACACTTGCACAGATTAATGAATGCACACATGCATTAACAAATATGAAACCTTCTTGTAGATGTCAGTAAAACTCTGTGTGCATCTTTTCAAACTCTTTGTTAGATTGTTATGGTCTGGCCCTGAGGTTCTGTTTTTGGGAGAGGGCCAATGACTTGTGGAGCACACCCAGGGCAACCTCCTCATAGCTTCGGGCCTAGCCTGGGGAAGGAATAGATGGGATATATTGGTGCGACTCATGAACCAGCTGGAGATTTCTAGCCTGAAGCCAGTAAACCAAAAAGCAAAAGGAAACCAAGAGACTGAGTTAAAAAGTCATGGTTGCAAATGGTAAAAAAAAGTCCCATTGCTTACAAAAGAGCATGCAATGCCTTAGGCCAGAATAGTGGGAGACAAAGGGAGGCACATAGATAGTTACAGAAAACTAAAGAGAACAGATGATGGAAAGAAAGACTTTAAAGATAGATGCAGAAGGAAAGCTGTGATTATATCTCTTTATGGAACATCAACAACAAATCTCAGTTAAAACCACCCCTGATTTACCATAACGCCTCGGATAAGCTGTGTGTTCCTTCTAAATGAGTACTGATGCAGAAAATGAGCAACCATTTTTACTTTGTTAGTTAGATCACAAAAGGTACAAAAACAGAAGGTCGTAGCCGCTACCTAAATTCACTGCAGAAGTTCCTTGAAATGCAATTCCCCTGAAAGGCACTGGGGAGTGGCTTAAGCAGATTTGCATGAAGAAAAGTAAATAAGGCTCCGTCAGAAGACAGCTGTGATGATATGAATGTCCTTGGATATATTAATGCATTAGATAAAGTGGAAAATGAATACCGCACACTCACACATATGCTCATTTCATAAAACTGGTTTCCTCAAGGTTGCAAAATCTCTGACCTCCAGAAACACTAAAGCTTTCAGCACTGCTAGTGTTTGCTAGGTCCGTCACCTGCTTCCTGTCAGCTGGTCATTACCCAGTCTGGCATTTCAAGTGATTTGACTTGATAATGTATACATTTTTATTTTGTTTTTCACAATTATTTGACACCTTTTATTATAGACCAATGCAAAGGGGCATGAGTGATGTCTGATGGAAGTAGGCTACTGCACAGCAGCCTGTAAACAGCATCTTCATAGTGAGACATGGTGGTGGAATTATCCTTTTTGTGGTTACTTTTTCCAAGCATAAATAGTAGATCAGGGGCCTGTTTCAGAAAGGAGGTTAAGTGAAAACTCTGAGTTTGTTAACCCTGAAATGAGGAAAACTCTGGGTTTTCTGTTTCAGAAAGGGAGGTAAGTTAAACCTGAGAAAGCAGAGTAAGTCAAGCCCGTTTCTGAAAGAGAGGTAACTTATACTCAGAGTCAGTTACCATGGCAATTTACTCTGTGAACCTAACCTGGTCGGGAGCAGGTTTTCTTCAGAAAATCCGGAGTTTATTTTGGTCTCCTCCCCTTTTTTAAAGAGGAAGTGGTGTTTAAACACCTCATTGATTCTTTGGGGACATACAGTATTCATTGCACACATTTCAGTCACGTAGAGCGCATCAAAGGGAATGAAATGGCATGTCCTTTTATGGATGATCCTGTTTGTAAAGCCAGGTAGCTACTCTACTCCCATGATGTGCTCAAGGCTTACCTGCTTGAAGTATGTTTTTATATTTCATTTTCAGCTGCTGCCATGTTCTTTTGATGCCTGTAGGATTGCACCTATCCATGAAAACTAAATTAGGTTTAATAAAATACTGTTCTTCCAGTTTCACCTCTGATATTATAACAGTTGGGTAAGTTACTCTAAAATAGTTCTTAATTACTAACTACAAATTTTATCTTCAACAAGTCTCATTAGATCAATGTATTAATTACTGTCTCTACAAAGTATTGGTCTAATTACTAATTTGTTTTACTTACTTATTAATTACTTTCTAGATCTCAAATCAACCTCAACAACTTGAACAATACAAGGAGAGACAAGAAACTGCACCTCTAATGCTTTCAAATAAACAATATTCAATTGCATGAATTAATCTTAAATTGACCAAAGTGTGTAACTAGAGGGAGAAATTTCAAATCAAAATATACCTTTTAAAATTTGATATTAAATCCACTATTGTTTTATAGTCTTTAATTTAATTACAGTATTTATATGACTTAAGTAACTTAATTCATTACACCCAACACTGTATAAAAGTAATTAAAATGTAAACTTACGCATTGACTCTAGCAGCTATTTTCACCCAAGCTAACTCTCTCTCCTTCGCCGCTGCAGCCGTGTTGCTTTTTAAAAAAAAATACATGTTCAAATTCTGCATATGCTTGCATAAGCACATCCAGTTCTGCTGGTGAGAAATATGCACACCTTTTTTTGTCTGACGCTGTTGCCATGGTGACTCGTAATATCTGTGCTCCATTGATAATGGCTTTTTATAGTTGTGGTGCACCCGCTTAACTCAGAATCAGTCAATTTAGAGTTGATTGAATTAACTAATTTTAGCTGTTCTGAAACCCAAAACTCAGAGTTTCCAATCTCAGGATAAGTCAACTCAGAGTTCAAGTTTTAACTCAGAGTTAGTTGAACTTCCTTATTGAAACAGGCCCCTGGTCTCATTCAGAGAGTCAGTGAAGGAATGTCCTGTCTTAAATAAAAAGCCTTTCTTCTGAGTTCTCTCTGGATTTGTAGAAACAAATCAAGGAAAGCAGGCACTGAGTTGTGGCCATTTATGCAACATTTTTGTAATTTGTTATTTCTACAAATTTAGTTTTTGTCTTTTGGTATGTAAAATATATTTAAGTTAATTTAGAAACAAAATTTGTTATCTATTTTTTCATATGTGTAAGTTGTTAATTGTTAGACCCTCCCATTAGTTTGAGTGATTAAGAGCACACCAGGTGCTGGGGGATGGTGTAGACAGGAGGTTTTAAAAAAATAAAAAAATTTCCCCACTTTTTTGGAAGCTTATAACATAAAATTTATTTTCTACTACCTTCCAAGACATTTTTAGTATTTGTTTTTCTTTGCATTTACAATTTGTCAAGTTGGAAGTGAGTGCAAAACCAAAAACCACCTGTTACCACTCACAGTCTTTGATGGAAATGTTGATATTTTTTGTTGGAACAGAAGGCTGCGACACGCTGCTTAAATAACTTAACTTGACTTAGAGTTAGACATGCTTTATTGTCATTTTGTACACACAGAGTGTATAAAAAACAAATTTTGTTCATTACAGCTCTGAAGACATTTTCATTTTATTAAAGATACGATTGTATATTAGTTACAGTTTAAACATTCAGGGGTTTTTTTATTATTTATTTATATTTTTTTATTAGATTTTTCTAAAGTACACAACATGAGTTAAAAAAGCAGAAAAAATATTTGTACCGCTTATGCCATTCTTTTGAAATTAAAACAGATAAAATAACTACGAAACTCTATCTTAATTGAAAAACATGATGTTAACCTAGTTATTTATTCTTTGGAGCTATTGTTAAAGAACAATCCTTGTTTGTCACCTGGATTTTTATCAAGACAAAATTTAGCATTTAGGTTTGTTGTAGTAACTTGACAAGTAATGAAACAAAATGAAAGGAGGATAATTCTGCTGGAGGTAATTCTGTTCTAGTAGATGTTTCACCTCTCATTTAAAAGAGGGCTTCATAGCAAAGAAGAAAAAAACCTATCTATGTAATTGATGTATCTGTAAATAAACGCAAACTCTGTGGTAGAAGTACCACCCATTGACCAGCAGAGGGCAGTATCAAACCATAGATGACCTCAACCTACCTCATTTTTAGGCGAAGGTAGTGGCTGCTTTTACTAAAATAGGAAATTACAGTTTTATACTGTGAACGCGTTTTCCCAAGCACATTTTCCCTCTTAGGAAATACTCATCTCACATTTTCATCATCTCCAATTAAGTCGGTTTCGCACTTTCATAGTTTTTCAATGAAAGTGCGAAAGTTTCTATTTTTAAAGATAACAATAGACAATTAACCTTAAATATAGCGCATTCACTTTACATTATTAATTATAAACATCCGATGTTATATAATTTGTAGTTTTTTTATTAAAATAACGATACAAAGGTGTGTTCTTGTGTGTACTAACTGATTTTGTAACCATAGATTTGAAGTAGAGCTCAGTTTTCCGAGGCACCTCTGAACGTAAAAGGAGCTATCAGCCAGTCTCCTGGCCAAGGTGTCCGCTTTCGGCAGCTAGCTGTTGTTTTCACCTTTAGTTTTAATTGAAAGCTTTTAATACTAAATTACACTCAACAACTCTGGACACTGTGTCGCCATGAAGGGAAGCAGAGTTTTAGTGGTTGTCTTGGTGCTTTCTGTCAGCCTGCTGTGCCCAGCCGTAGCGGGCAGGGGCAGGAGCGGCGGCAGCAACCAGAACAGCTTCAGGCGGGCAGCTAACGGGATCTACCAGACCCTGAGCAGCGTGTTTGGGGAGGAGAACATCCGAGCTCTGTACAAGGTGCGTGGGGCCACAGAAGGAGAACAATACAGGCCTGTTCTATATAATGAAGGGTTTGTAATCCACATAAGGTGAACAGGAAATTTTAAAAAGCTAACTGGGCCTGCAGAACTTGTCATGGATGCCATTTTGAATTATTAGCATTAATCCATTTATTTTATTTATGTAAAACAAACGATTTTAGTTAAATACTGTATTGTGTTTCTTAGCATTTCTGTTTCAGTGTTTTTTGTCCAGTCCTCTGCATCACTTATCTGTAACCTCATTCTTTTGATCCAAGGCCTCTAACGGCTATCAGTCTTTTTAAAGCGTCATATTTCCATTTCTGCGATAAGAGCCTCGGTAAAGGACACACAGGGCTGCATGGTGTGCTCTCATTGGCTCAGCTGCATTTCCTGCATTTTGAAAAGCTGCACGTTTCCTCCGTTTAGCCGCCAAAGCAAAGCACAGTTCCCTATGTTACAGTGGTCACGTGAGGCCATATTATTACAATCAAGATTTAATCATTCTTAGGCCTGTGTCCGTGTTTGATTCTCATCCTATGATAGCATTAAGTAAAATTCATGGGCTACGATACAACCTAAAAACAACAGATCCGAAATATTTACTCTATTCGATTTTATTTAAAGCAAAAGTAGCAGCTTTGCTTCCTTGTTGCAGATTCTGGTTGTTAGGCAATTAGCTCTCATCCAATCAGCGATCAGATAGGAGTCACGTGACCAGAGTGGGCTCCTCCACAATATGCCACATAGTAATTGACATTTTCTTTCTTCAGAAAATTAACTTTAAGGTAAAAAACAAAAATAAAAAAAACAAAACAAAAAGAGATTTTTATTTTTGCAAATAAAAATTGTTACCCCTCTGTTTTGGTTGAACTGAACTGAAGTTAGTTTGGTATAAGCCACAACATACGGGTACACCTTTTAACCAGTTCAAAGTAGGGTTGTCACGATACTAAACTTTTCAACTCGATACCGATACTAAGTAAAATATTTGATACTCGATACCATTTTCGATACCACAAGGATAAAAACAAAGACTCCAAAATTCAACATAAATTTTTTCATTAATAAACAAAATACAATAAATAGATAAATAAATACAATAAACAATATTTTTGAGGTCGTATGATGTGCACAATATTAAGCAAGCTTGGTAAAAACACTTACAAAATTAAAATTAAGTGTTCCTTCCTTTGGCTATTCTTTACACACATAGCAATGACACTAGCCAAACCAGTTAAAAAACAAAAATAATCCTCAGCAGCTGCACCTGTTACAGAAAAAAGTCTGACACCAAAAAGCGTACAGAATTATTCAATCACACAGTGTTCAGAAAGTGCATCTTCCTCTAATCTGCGCATAAGATCAATGACTGTTTAGGTGCCACTGGTGGTAGCACTGTATCGATACTTTTAAAAACGAGTATTGTATCCGGATACAACTTTTCAATATCGATACTTTTTTGAGTATCGATACTTTTGACAACCCTAGTTCAAAGAAAGCTAATGACAGTACCTTAATAGCCATGTAACAACCTGGTAATAACATAGCAAGTTACACTATATTACTAGGTATCAAGAAAAAATTTATTGAGAATTTTACAAAGTGCTGTGCTTCAAAGTTTAGGGGGACAAGATAAAGTCAGACTTCTTAGATTTCAAACTGTTATTACCTGGTAACTCATATTTATTTTGCAGACAGCAATAAATGAATTTATCTGTTAAAATGCAGGTTATTACTACCGGTAAGTATATATCAGCAAACCAATCTTCTTAACTAAACTCTTATTTATATTTAACTTGAGTTTAGTTTTATATTTGTAGGCGGTGGCCAATAATAGAAAATGTTATGTGCTAAACTAATTGTAATTACAATGTTACATAGTCACATACAATTGTAATAATTACATGCAGGTTATTATTTTGGAATCATATACCTTAATCTTGGGGTAATTACCCAAAAAAAGTTGTTCTTATTACTAAGTATTATAGTTCCAGTTGGTGTGTTATTACCATGTTATTGCATGGTTATTGATGTACTGTAAAATAAAGCGTTACCCATAAAGGTTTCTAGGGAAGGGGGGTAGCTGTTATATATGTTGCTAAAAGCATTAAACTTGTCCCCTTTATGTACGACAGACAACATTTTCTCAGTATTGAATAGCAAACTGGGAAAGGATATCAGATGGTGAAGTAGGGGCCACTATACAGAGGAGGAGGTGATGAAGCGGAAGTCTGTCAGAGGCCACTTGCTTTTATTTAGTTCCTTTCAGCTAAAAATAGACATTATAATGACTCAAACACATGTGGTATGTGTTCTGTTTGGGTGGACAACCTGCATGTTCTTTCGAATCTACATATTGTCACGTCTGAGGAGTTTTGTTGATTTTAGTATTTTTGATGCATTTAAGCATCTAAAGCTTTTATGCATTTTGCCTGTCACAGCAACTGCTGCACAAAATATTGATTTGCAACAACTACTATCACATCAGTGCTTACAAAATCTCAAAGGGTTGCTTATGGTAATATTTTGTAGGCTGTGTGATGTTTCAAAGGTTATGCAATACATTTTTAATTTATAATATGTATTTGAGCACTTGGATGGGCTTTTAACTGTCCAGACTTCAAAACATTTTAGCAACTGAGATTTCAAAGTCCAGGGAGAGAATGAGGAAACTGTGACGGTGGGAAATAATGGTTGTTGGTAAAAGTGGTGAGTACTATCATTGGCCACCCTTGATGTAGGTTTTTAGTGGCTGAGATGCTAAAGATCAAACAGGGATTGGTGGAAACTTGAGGCAAATGGGGTTTAATCAAGGGGGTTGGCTGTCATACATGTTACTAAAAGTGTTTAACATGACATCCTCTCTGTAGTGTTCAGCAGTAATAGCGCAATGTCACGTTTTTTCTCTCGATTAGCCCCATTTTACTCCAGCAGAGGTTTTTGAAACAAAAACCTGGACATGTTAACTAAGCTTTGAGATGTGCTGCTCCAAAGTCCTTCAGATACTATATAATGAAGCAAAAATACAATACCAGTCTCTCTGACTTATTTAAATTCTGTTATTTTTTATTTTGATATGTAGATTTGAGTTAGCAGGACTCTCATCACCGGTGAATATCTCCCACCATTCTTAGCCTACTCGTTTTATCTTTATAAAACTTGCATTTGGATTATTGACATTTGAAGGGCTAAAGCCGGGCATACGCGGTGCGATATTTTCAATCGTTGCACGCAGGTACAGCTCAAACTGTATGACAAAACCGTTGGGTTTAAAAGTTCACAGCTCACAATGCAAGTTCTCACACTGTGCGGCACGATGTGACCTTACGATGCCCGGCTGAATTTCAGACCTGTTTGATTTATTCTTGACCTTATGATTCCTGATTGGGAGGTGGTAGTGAGGCTGATCACCCAGCTTTACCCCTTGTATGCTACAGGACACAGGATCAGGCTGAAAGTCAGCCCGATCAAAAGATTCTCCCACAACTGGAGAATCCATCCGAAAAGGGCAAAAAATCGTACAGCGTAAGCCCGGCTTAAGGGTGTTTAAATATCGCTTATCTTAGCAGTTTTATCAGAGGGATGTTTTCTATATAGCATCTTATCCTGAGGTCACTTAGGTCCTCTGATGTCAGATTTGTGGAGAAAGAACTGATCCTACCCTAATTTTTCTTTTCCTCTCTCTGCTCAGTTTTTCTCCAAAGCAACAGAGCGGTTCGTGCACGGAGTGGACTCTTTCATGGACACCATCTGGAAGATCTGGTCAGATCTGCTCGATGTGATGGGCATTGATTGTAAGCTGTGTTCTTGTAATGTTTTTTTTTTTTTGTCAGATTTGTTGCTACTTTTTTAAAGATGATGTATTCCCTGTCTCTCTCCCTCCCTCTCTGCAGCCTCAAACCTCAGCCACTACTTCAGCCTCACTTCTCTAACCAACACCCCAGCGCGTGCCTTGCTCCTGGTCGCTGCCGTGTTATTGGCCTACTGGTTCCTATCCATGTTTCTGGGGGGGTTGTTTTATTTGCTGCATGCCATTTTCGGACGCTTCTTTTGGCTGGCAAGGGTCATACTCTTCGCCCTGTCCTGCCTCTACATCCTGCAGAAATTTGAGGGCGACCCAGAGCGGGCCGTGCTGCCGCTGTGCTTCATCATGGCGGTGTACTTCATGACGGGGCCAGTGGGGGCGTACTGGCGTCGCGGAGGCGGGGCGGGCTCGCTCGAGGAGAAAATCGACCACTTGGACACTCAGATCAGGCTGCTCAACATCAGGCTGAGCCGAGTCATAGACAGCCTGGAGCACAACGGGGAGCAGTAGAGTTGCAGCTGGAAGGATTATTGTCGGAGTTAGACCACATGTATTTGTTAATTTGCTTTCCTGAGCTCACCTTCAGGAAAACAGGCACCAGGTATTTATAACTCTACTGGGTTTTAAAGCTTGAGTTGGTTGTGGAGAGATTAATGTAGAATTCCTAGAAGAAATAAGACACAACCAAAGCAAACATCTTCTTAGATTTTGGGTAAATATATAAAAAGGAGGATTTTTGTAAATCTAAAGAAGTTATGTAAGCTATCTCCGTTCTTCATCTCAGCAACTTATAAAAGTTACGTATTTCTCTTATTAAAGCACCAATTGCTTAATACATAAACATATTTTGAGCTTATTAAACCTTAGTAGACTTAAACAATTTTGAAGATGGTGTATATTTGCCCAGAGTGAGATTGATTTATTTATTTCCTCCAAATATTCTTCATATTGGCGACCATTCTTTGGCGAAGGTGATGTCAGGACCTTTTTTCCTATTTTTTTTCTTGTTTCCTTTCTTGTGCGTGAGTACATGGGTCAACGCCTCGGTGCCCTGCTTCGTTGCGTATGTGGAGGTAGTCGACCATGAAAATTTGGGAAACACTGTAACTGAATTTGCATTCAGATGTGGAAACCATACAGAGAGCCAGCAATATCTCAGGGACTCACTCCACACTTAACGAAATATGAGTGCTAGTGTAATATTTGGTCTCTTCACTGTTCTGTTTGGGTGTTTTTTTTGTTAAGTTTAATTTATGCATGCCGTCCTCATAAATTTTCAGCTTTTATCGTTTTCATTATGTGTAAATTAAGTGAAGGTTCAGATCGGGAAATGTTTAATCATCTGCACATCACAGGACCCTGGATACTTACTCTAAGATTAGTTTAATCTTTGAATAAATTCTAATATAAAAGTAAAACATTGCTCCACTGTTTAGCCCTGATTAAAGAACTGGAGGTTTATGAAGTTTGGTAGAAATCTGGAGAGCTGGAGGCTTTCAGTGGGAACTATCAGGAAGATTGTGAGAATAAAGGGAACTTGACATTTGATGAGCTTTTAAAGGTGATGGTGACGAGTTTAACTCCTCCCAGCCAGTAAGTGGTTCACTCGTGCTTGTCTTCCCACATTCTGGAATTTTGTAAGCTAGGCTGGCTAATACAAACCAAACATTTATTTACCTTTAGAAGAAACAGTTTTTTTGGGGTGGGGCATTTTATGCATCATTTTGACTAGAGCAGATTACGTACTCCTATGTATGTACAAAAGACTATGTACTACATAAACAGAGGGATACTCCTATGTATGTAGGAGGGATACATACCTATATATGTATCCCTCCTACATACTGTATACTATATATTATTAGTTAAACATCTAATAACCTACTGTACTGTAACCTTTCTGGGCACTGTTGTGGAGGCCACGCCCCCTAAATGCTTCCTCTTTCACATGAAAGGGTACTTCCTGGAATCCCACACTATTGAAGCCACTACCCTTAGCCTGCGGACTAAATGAAGGAAACATGAAATGTTGATGAAATTTTTAATTTATAAAAACATACACCTGCTTGCAATGAAAGCAAATATCCCTGCTTGTGTTTGGTTATAGCACTGTTTGTTGGAATGGCCTCCAGTTCCCAGTTGTTTTCCATTTGGTAATTCTCTAATTACCAATGAAAGTGTTTTTTTGCAGGAATGAAAATACGCTTTAATGTTTCCAGATGTTAATTCAAATTTCCACCTGTTTGCAAATTTAGAGACAACATTCCTCAACAGATGGTTTTATGTAAAGTGTCATTTCTCAGCTGTTAAAGTTAAAAGGTCATGTAAATTCTCTGACAGGATTTTTGCCTTTATGTTCTATTTAGATATTTAAATGTATACATTCCTTTAATAACCATTTTTCTTATTTAGAGAAAGGCCTTGGTGGGGTTCCTCTCCATCCTTGTGTCTGTAGCTTCAGATGAAGTATTCAGACATTTTAACAATAGGACACAACTTTAAGGCAGTATTGCAAGGGAGGAAAATACTCTGTTGGAAGATCTTTTAAAAAAATGATCTTGGTACTTTAATCTCTACCAGGTCCTTCATATTAGAATTTGTGTTTTAATTGATGTTTGGTCAGAATACAAGGATGATAGTGGTTATCTCAGTCACTTAAAATTTTCTGTTTGATTATACACTTAGAACTATTTTACTTATGGTTATTAAAGCCTCAAACTTCATTGTGTTGTTTTTCCACTATTTTGCGTGATAAACATAAAAAGTGGTGTGTAATCATTTAGTCAGAGTGTGAGGGTTCAAGGGGTAGGAATATTTTTCAAGACCAAATACCTTACAGAAGGAAACCTGTTCTAAGTGACCGTTTTTGTTCCCAGCCTTAATTATATCGCTATGCTCCATATTCTTGGTTTTGAAAGTGAAGGGAAGTCTAGCTGTTTCTGCTAGGGCTGCAAAATATTAGAAATGAATCCAGTAGTATCTGTCATCAATCTGATTCCAATTCCCTCTGTAAGACTCAGTATTCTGGGCAGGGAGACTAAACCCATGTAGGACTGCCACACCAGAATTCATTGGACGTCTAGTATAACAACCTGGCAGTTATTTACCATCCCTAATCATGTGTAGTTTCATTTTTTGGAGGCAACACCGCAATTAGTCAATTTAAAAGCAGGAATGGCAGTTTAAGGGTGGAAAGATGCACAGTAATCGGCAAAGGTTGGGAATCAAACTTGTGACATCTGTGTTGAGAACCTCCACTCTAAATCTTCCCCTGAGCTACATGGTTCCCTGCAGCCCTAATTAATGCAAACAGTTTGCTAGTTACATGTATTAATTTTTTCTTTAATCCATTATTGTTTTTTTCACGTCTTTTAGCTAGATGTCATTGCTGGGATATATAAATAATTTAGAAGCATATCTGGGATTTTTCCTGTTTTGCCAAAACACTCCCACAGTAATAACCAACCAGGTGGATGAACCGTATATTATGTGAGATTTTACTGCATGCTGCCTTTATAGATTTCCATTTTGCTGCCTGTTTTTTTTTTCTTTTATACAAATGACATGAAATTAGTCAGAGACTTCTTGTTTTTGTATTGTTACTCATCAATGCGGCTTGTTTTTCTGCACTATTGATTGCACTGAAGACTAGACTTTGTTGACCCTTTGATCACACTTGGTTTGCAAAGAACACTGGATACAATCACTGCTTTCATTCCATAATCACTGCATTGTCCCTGAAACGAAGGTACATATTGATCTATGTGAAGCAAAACTACTTTTTTACATTAGGCAGCTAACTGGAGTTGGGTTTATAATATATATTGCTAGCCTACAGATTAATCTGTTGTAAAATTGTTTTTAAAAAAAAGGTAATGTGTGGCTCATCGAAGTGTTTATCAACTAATAACTATCGCTAAATGAAGGTTTTACCCCCAATGAACTAGACTATTTTAATAATCTACACCTGAAGGTGTATAATATAGAATCACAGCTGGGTGAGGGTTTGAGGGACTGTTTGTTTGAAGATCTGAATTTTTATCCCCTCCATCTTTAAAGCTGTTAAAACCTTGTGAAGTTTCTTTTGGAGCATCATGGAAGAGAAGATGTCACCAGCTGTAAATGTTATCATAAACTACTCTGTGTTTCCATCAGTTAACATCAGATTCATTGATTGACCCACTTATTTATCCGTTTATTTAGAGTGTATAATGAATAGCATTTACGTAAAAAGAAGCTGTACTGTAACCTGTCTGTTTCTAATGGTCTTTATGGTGCCATTTCTTTTTTATTACTGTAAGAAATTTGGATCAGTTTTTTTTTTTCTCTCCACTGATTTCCATTTTTATACTTTTTATCATCTGGAGTCTAATGTGCTTGACTGCAGTGGTGGCAGTTACTGTTCTGCTTCCTACTGTCTTATTTGTGTTTAAGCGTGTCTTTATGGAAAACTGTAAAAAATGTTTTTTTTGAGCAAAGATGAGGTCAGGATTTCAATAAAGTCATAACTGAAACCTAATGTATTGATTTATTACATCCATACATTCTCCAAATAACCAGAAAGATGATCTTTGGAGAAGCTGACTTTTCATGGAGTTTTTACAATTCACACTGTTTAGTGGAAGGAAAAAGTTTGATAAAAAAAAATAAAAAATAAGTGATATCTATAGCCTTTAGCAAGATTTTTTTTTTTATTAAAACCCTTTTCAGGGTTTAGGAAAAATTCAAAAGTACTTTATATTCCCAAAAAAACTTGTTTTAGGAGATTTATTTAACAGGAAAATGGTTCCTACCTACCTCATCAATGCTGGCGATTAGGGTTGAAACAATCCGATTAATTGTGATTAATCGATTATTAAAATTATTGTCAACTAATTTAGTAATTGATTAATAATAAGTATAGAGACTCTAACACATGCCTTTAGCTGATAAAGCAATCCACTTAGAACAGTAATTATATCAAAATTGTAAAAAAAAAAAAAAAAAGTAAATATTTTGCATTTAAGATAAAAAAAAAACTTTTTCTTCTGTCAATAAGGTCTATTCAGAACTCCTCCAGTGGAAAAGTTTCAGATTCACTTGGTTAACTTTACTAGAAAGTTTCAAAGTTGAATTGAAAAAGCTTCCTAGATGGGAAGCAAAACGTCTTCAAACTTGGAAACCAAGTCCAGTAGATTGTTGTTGGTTTTTCTTACTTTTTTGGAATGACTATAACCTGGATGACTGAGATTCTCCACCAGCATATTACTTAATACCAATAAAAAAAGCATTTTATACAGAAATGAGAGCTTAATGAAAAGTTTAATATTTCCATAAGGGTTATTTTCAAATGGTACGGGTAAACTGATAAACTTATATTCAGATTTGAGGACTTTCCGTTTCTTTCATGGAATATTTAAACCTTAAGAAAAACTGTTTGTTGTTTTTAAAGGTGTTAGTGAGTCACCCCAAATTCCTAGAAATAAAAACTTGCAATGCATCCCTCTGTGTGACCTGTATGTATTTCACTTTATAACTTATGTACTCAAATAAATGACCCTTTTTTGTAGGTCAATGTTTTAATAATATTTATTCAGATACTCCTTCAGGAATTGCTTTTATAGGATCGAAGGTGACTTCATAGTGGGGTGTTTTTCCTGACACTAGATGGCACTAATAATTAAAGCATCAATAACACCACCTTGGGTTTTTGAATTATTTTTCACAATCCCTATACTACGGGTCTGCAGCTCTGGTGTAACAAGTGGCTCTTTGGACCCTCTACAATGGCTCTTAATAGTGCTAATGGTTTTGAATATAGTATAATAACAAATGTATGTTTTTAGGTCTATTTTCCTAGTCATTAGCATGGGAATTATAGTTAGGTTTTTTTTTAAACTAGACCTTGGCTACACTGCTGCTCTCCTCCATTTGGTGGTGCCTAATCCCTGCCCCTGTTTTTATTTTTCCTTAGAAGTCAAGCTTCCTCCTCCATTCCCATACTGGGGGATCTGGGGATATCCTCCCACATACCATGGGAGGTCGGTTCCAGGTGTTCATGGATACACACTAATACTACATACTAATACTTAATACTAATCTGTCTATCTATCTATATATATATATATCTATATATATATATAGATATATATATATATAGATATATATATCTATATATATCTATCTATCTATATCTCTATATATATATCTATCTATCTATATCTCTCTATATATATATATATCTATCTATATCTCTCTATATATATATATCTATCTATATCTCTCTCTATATATATATATATATCTATATCTCTATATATATATATATATATATCTATCTATATCTATATATCTATATCTATCTATCTATATCTATATCTATCTATCTATATATATATATATATATGTAT